TTACAACCCAAAAAATTTTTTTTGCATGTTCTAATAAAATTTCCATTGTTGCTGTCATCTGTTGCTGATTCAACATTTAGATTGACACCTTTGTAGGCAATGATTGTGATAAATGGGTACACTACAATTATTCAAATTAGTATAGTTAGTGTAATCACATTATATGTAATTGCAAAAAATGTTTGTAGATGGTATTTTGATCCCTGAAATTTTTGGTAATACTAATGTTCACTTTGCCTTGTTTTGTTGCAGTATGCCCCATATGTAATAATCAAAATTTTTTAGACAAAAATCACGCGAGGTTCATTTTTTGGTAACATGGCGCAGCAATAGGAGATCTGCCAACCATATTTCGAGTTTAATAATTCGTGCTCCTTAACGCGTTAATCTCTTCTTTTTTATATATTTATACACATAAACTTGAACTTTTAAAAATTCCATTTGAAATTGCCGATAAACAAACATTCTGTAATTATTAAACATGAGTGGTACATTTAAGCCAATACTTCCTACAGCCACTCCAAAAAGTTCTTCTCATTCAACAACTTTTTCTAGCCAACAACACAATCCATTACCAATTACTATCACTTCACCATCAGACAACACTTTTACTACCTCTCCCACCTTTTCTAATGCTGTTGTTTCTTCTTCTCTTGATGATTCTTTTTCTTATGGAACTGTTACTTTTCCAAATAATTCTTCTTATGAAACTAACTCTCATACTACCAATTCACAAGCAGATCATATTAAAACTGTCGAGACTGTTGAAGAAAGCACCCAAAAGTTCCAATATGTTCAAAAGATAACTGATCCACCTATCACAAAAGCATTATTGACTCAACGAAAAAAGAAAGCAGCTGCTGCATCATCTACCAACAAAAATGATAATGATAATATTGATAATGATAATGATGCACCCATCAAAAAAACATCATCAACTCAACGAAAAAAGAAATCAGCAGCTATATCTACTAGCAATAATAATAATAATTGTGATGATAATAACAATAATAATATCGATATCAATAACGATGCACCCATCAAAAAAACATCATCAAATCAACGAAAAAAGAAATCAGCAGCTGCACCAACTACCAATAACAATAAAACTTGTAATGACAATAATAATATTGGTAATGATAATGATTCATCTATCAAAAAAGTACCACCAACTCGACGAAAAAAGAAGTCAGCAGTTGCATCAACTGCCAAAAATAATAATATTAATAATGATGGTGATGATAGCAGCAATATTGTTAATGATAATGATGGTGATGCCGTTACAACTGCTACCATTATCACTAACAATAAAAAGAAAAGAAAAAATACAAATGATCAAGATGAGGGACCAACAGGAAAAAAGACGCGTAAATTAAAAGATCCAGATGTACCAAAGAAGCCTCCCAATGCCTATATTCTGTTCTCCAAGGAAAAACGGTATCGATTTACTTTATATATAAATGTGTTTACTTATAGAATTGATGACGATTGATTGATTAATGTATATAATTTCTTCAAAAAAATAATTTAGTGATGAAATAAAATCCAGATACCCTGATAAAAATATTCTTACTACATTAGGGCAAATATGGAAAAAAATGACCAATGAAGAAAAGAAGGCAATACATATTAAAAAGACATTAAAATTTTGATTTTTGATTTTTTAAAGTCAATCGATTTATTCATTATACATTTTTAATTGTATATATAGCCCTATTATGAAATGAGAGACAAGGCCATGATGAAATACGATGAGGATATGAGCTTCTACAACTCGGTATGATTATTTTCCATATATATATATATGGCAATAACTGTTTCTAATATTAAGATTAGCATATATTAATAATATAAATATTAATAACAGCAAGTCTCATCATCACCACTGCACCAATCATCATTACATCAATCACCAACACCATTATACCAATCACCACCACATCAATCACCAACATCATCGCCACCATTAACATCAAACCAATCGCCACTACATCATCATCAACTAGTTGATTTAGAACATGATGACTTGTATAACCAAGCTCTAAATGTTGCAAAATCAATTAATATTGACAACAATGATGATGATCTTTGGTATGAAAATGATATTCCAAGTTCCATACAAGATATCATTAATCATACCAACATAATCAAAGAACAACAAGAACTGCAATCACCACAAAAAAAATCACAAGAACAACAATTATCACCAACATTGCAACAGTCGGATCAATTGTTGCTTGGAAAATCAGCAATTGATGATGACAATGATTTATTTGAAGAACTTGGGCTTGCAAATATAATTGATGATGATGATAAAATTTTATGCTATGGGCAAGGGTTACCAAATCCTTTACAAAATTTACTTAATTATGATAAATTGGATGATGGTGAACAAGAATATGATCATATGATGATGACTGGTATTACTGCTGCTGTTCAACAACACAAACAACAACAACTACATGAACAATATATAAATCCTGTTGAAGAATATATTATGAATTATCTTTAAAATGATTAGACTATCTATTGAAAAATAATCAATTGTAACTTGAATATTGAGAGATTTAAAATTCGACTTGATTAATCCAGGAATTGGAAACGAATTGATAATTAACTAGCTATTATTATTATTATTATTATATTTATTGTTATCATATCCTTATTTTCTTTATTAGTATTAATAATATTAATATGCTTCATTTGCTTTATAATATATTAGATCAAGTTTTTATTTCATTGTTTTAAATAGCAGGTGAGATGTAGGAGAAAAAAATCAAAATGTAAAAAATATTATAACTACTACTGAATAAATATAAACATGTATATATTTAGCTACATAATTATAACAAACCAAAGCAATTATTAATAACTCAACCAATACCATTCACCAATCTACTATTATCAATCTCCCTATAATATCTTAGTTATTATTATTTATTTTTATGATTATTATTATTATTATTATAAGTTTTTGAATAAAATCTAATAAACAAAAGCAGAAAACTTCCATTACAAAACATTG